AAGAATAGCATGTGACTGCACCATTGGTAACTTCTTATTTGCCTGCATTACAGGCACCTCATGCATGTCCGAACCATTGATGGCTAAGGTAAGAAATGACATGATTACACAAGAAGGTAAAACAAATTTTTCTCTCCCAACACTGGACAATTTTGTATCTTTGCCTATCATTCTTGTCTCTTTTTATACACTCCACCGATCTAATACTCGATGCATATCTGCTCAAATATTTTGTTTGTCAACATTTTGTGCGTCAAAGATGCTCCAAAATCCTTACAAAGATCACGACAAGACATAAGCACCATTATTATAATTTTTGTTTTTTTTTTTTTTGCATCTTAGTTATTTTCTTACATGTGTTTGTCTGATTTTTGTTTTGATCACTGCCATTTTTTTTTCTCTCTACCACCTTCCTATCTCCATTTTTTTTGATGATGTCAAAGGGGGAGAAAAATATGAATTGAATTGCTGAGAATTGTTGTGCATGTGTACTGTGAATTGTTGTGCATGTATCAAATATCTAATGCGGCAAAATTATCAAATATTTTGTTGATTTCAATTTTGTGTCAAATCCATTCATGTATTGTCATCATCAAAAAGGGAGAGATTGTTAATCATGTTGTTTAATTTTGATGATGTTTTTAAAATATACATACTTTATGATACATTTGTTATAAATATTTTTTGACATATTTGACACAAAATAATATATATTTTTGACACAAAATATTATCTGTTTAAAATATACATACTTTATGATACATTTGTTATAAACATTTTTTAAATAAATTTTTGTGAAAATTTTACTATTCATGTTTTAATCACTATTCACCCTTTGACAAATTTGATGTGATTGTCTCTTTTAAGTAAATTTGTATTATATCATTTTGATACATATTGCAGTAAATTCAAATTACTTTACAATCATATTTGAATGAATCGATTATAAGCATAGTTGATTTATACGAAACATCTTTTGAATATATTAAAGATTTATAAATAGTCAGTGGCAGTGCGGTGCGGTGCATCAAATATATATATATATAGTCAAAATCTTGAAATTGATATACTATAATGATTGTAGGAGAAGACTTATTTAATTTTTTATTGTAAACAAATCCTTGAAGATGTTTTGCCTGCAAGATGAAAAAGAAAAAGCTGTAAGTTGGTTTGAATTTGCTTGCAAAAAGAGAAACAAAAAGTTACAAAGTAGACACAATTTTCATATGGCTTTTGACTTCAAGGAACCCATAATGATGGAGCTTTATGCTGACTTCTCATAATCCGAATGAGCTTTTGTCTCTCCAACGGGTAGATTTTTTGGTATAAATAAAAATGTTGTATGTGGAGAAAAATTAGAGAACTTGAAGATAAAAAATTATGTGTGCTCCAAAATTTTGAATGTATTGTATTCTACTCTTTCACTTTCAGATTACACTTTCATATCTACTCTTTGTAAGAAAATTATTGTAAAAGAGGGTTAAAGTACCTCTTATTTTTATTCATTATTTTGTGAGAGATTTTTGTAAGGGTAAGGCATTTTTTTGTTGAGTGAGACTCAATAGATAAAAATAAGACATGCGTAAAATCCACAAGCTTGGTGAAGCCTTGGTAGTGTATTGATTTATTTTGATAGTGAAGAAATTCTCAAGCAGGTTCCTTGGGGAGTGGACGTAGGCCCGGCGTCCCAAACCACTATAAATCTCAATGTTTGATTTTCTCTCCATATCTCTCTTACTTTTATATTGATAATCATTGTTTTGAATTTTGTATTTATTATTTTTTTAATATTGTAAATTATTTTTTTTAATAACCCAATTCACCCCCCTCTTGGGTTGCCTAATTGGGATAACACCAAAGAAAGTCGTCATCATTTAAGTATTTGCTTGGCATTTTCTTGACAAGTTTCTCTCGGCCTCTCTTTACTTTGAAGTAGTAGACCCAACCATCATCATTCTGACCAAGTGAGTATTATTGGAATATCTCGGCCAATCCAAGGTTGAGGCAGAGACGGCGGTTGAGTTCGGCAATCCCGTTTATAATTCTATACGTGTTGGTGGACACCTAGGTGGGATAGAGTCTAGTCTGCCTAATGAATTCACAAATAAAGGGTTGGACTGGAAACCAGAGTCTACCCTTTACGATTGACAATATGATGAAGGGCAAAAACCGGATTTGCCCCAAGGTATAGCATCTTGCTCGGATAGGGTAAACTACACGTCATTAGGAATGTTGTAATCCCTTCTAAATTCGGCTATGGTCCTTGGCGAGCTTACCATTTTCCTATTGGCTTTAAGTTAGGATTTATTGGGGTTTGCTTGACTAAATCGATCAGCGTTGTTTGGTTGCTCAGTTCAACAGGCACCGTCAAAGGGGCAAAATGAATGGTGTGCCTGGACAACCTAGTCAAGTCTACAAAGTAAAAAAATAAAATGTGTTATGCCCAAATGTTGATCGGGCTAAGACAATGGTTTGTTCGGTCATGAGTGTGCGTGTGCAGAGACTTAGCTCGGTCATGAGCTGGGCACAATTCGACCCACTACCAGTTCAAGGTTTTAGCCTAGTTCTTGTTATGAAATATGTCCCTAGCTCAGTTGGGCTTGTTCGAATTTATACAAACATATTTCTGCTCAGACGTAGCCTAATTTTGGATCAAAAACACTATTTCTGACTAGTTTTAGTCCCAGTTGTACGAAGTTCATCTCAAAATATGGGATTTCAGTGATTTGTAGAGGCCCTAATTCACCTCTAAGTTCATTTTGTGTACATTTTAGCGGATTTCTATTCTAAAGTGTTATTTTTTGGGCCTAAACGGTGGACTAGCAACCCCATGAAGAACAACATGAATGTTTATAAGAAAAATGTCAGGAGGAATGAAGGACTTACGAATTCAAGTGCAGAACTAAGTTCCAGTCGGTGGGAAATGCTCCAATGGCAGTGGTAGGCTTGATTCAATGGCAGAAATGCTTAGACTTGGGCTTTGAATGCAAGGATCGAGAAGCTGCAGCTTTGAGTGGTGACCCTTCAAATAAGTAAAGCTATGTAGTGAAAGCAAGAAGGGTAGGACTGTTCAAATTTTTGACAGTGCAAGACAGCTATAGTAGGTGTACTTCACCAGTGGGGGCCTGCCACGTATCCAAGGAATGATGTCGCATCAGACATGCTAGAGTAATGGAGCAACGTACAGAGCAACGTACAGAGCAACTGATAAGATTTCTTAGAACTGGGCAGATCGTGAGACTGAACAAATATTTTTAGCTCAGTTGAATTGTATCTTTCTTAGCTCGGCTTTGGAAAAGTAATTCCAATCATGCTTTGCAAATGGAATTAAGGGACAATTGAGAGGGTAATTTGTGCAAATAAATTGGGCCGATTAAGGTAGGATTATCTTTAGAAGTCGGGCCGCGTAAGTGAGAAGGGTAGCTCGGTCTTGGGTCAAACACGCATTAGGCCAGTCAGAGATGTGTTGCTAGGGCCTAGGCCTAGCTATCTGAAGACAGTCCCTTAGCAGATCAAGATGTTGTCAATAAAGAAGACCGAGTTATGTATAGCTCGGCAGGGTGCCATCCTATAGCCAGGCTTATCACAACTCTACCAAGGAGAGCATACAGCCGAGATAGCTCAGTTAATCGCAATGACAGCCGAGCAAAAGAGTTTGAACCATCTCACCTGGTTGGTAGTGAGAAAGGTGTTCTAAGGATAAGTATTATCCTTTAGGAATGTGATTCCTAAGAGGACTCTGCTAAGTAGAGATAGAGTTCTATTAGGATTGTGCCACGCAGAGTCTATAAAAACTCATGACAGAACCTATGCACAAGTATTGCAATTCTTACTCAAAAATATATAGAGCTTATTGTTTATTGTCTACTTGCTGACTTAGGCATCAGAGGGGTTTTTAGCATACATTCGCCGGCTAGCTCACGTGTGTTTTCAGGTAGCAAAGTGACGACGTTTGAAGAAGTGCAAGCATGATCAATAGGATTATACAAGACAGATTGTTTCGTGCCCGTACATGTAATATCCTTATAGTTTTAGTAGTGTTATGAATACCAAAATTCATGAGTTTTTTTTTATTTTTTTGTTTTTTTACATGACTTGGGAACTCCAGGCTAAGTCTATTTGTGATCTGACCTTACAAGCTAACGTAAAGAGCATGTTGAGGAGCTCATCACTCATCCTCCAATTTCAATCAAAGTCTATAACGAGATTGGTGTAAGTTTCAAACTCGGGATCTTAGGCCACTTAGATTGTTACCTTATCAACTCATTCAACCCTGATTATTTTTTAGAGTTAATGTCCACATATATACACATGCTTGTATTATGTATGCAAACATTTTGTTTCACATTAATTTCGGTGACTGAAATTTTCGATGTTTGTATACTTTTGTTCAGCTATAAAAATCGAATCTTGAGTTTGTTATATTCACTATTCATAAAATTCATTAATGAGACTCTTTATTTTAAAAACATTATCATAATATTATTCTAGTGATATGTACACAATTGAAAGACTGGATTCATTCAAAAATGGGTGTGGATTTATCAATTGCATGATTTGTATTGATGCTCAAATCAAACATTTCCATATCAATGCATTTCGATATTGTTGGTCAATATGTCAACTGTATTTTGATTTGTGAAAGATTAGATTGATTGTTAGTCGATCAGGCATACTGGTAAAATTCTATCCGATGGTTAAGTAATTAGCTCTTTTTGTAAGAGGCACCTTAGATTAAAACCGTGGTCGAAGTATAAAATAAAGATGGAGCAAAGTGATGGGGTTATTTTTTGAAGTGGTTGATGAGTTAAGCTCTAAGGCCTCGTTTGGCAAGTGATTTTTTTAGTCAAAAAGTCACTAAACCAAAAGGCCAACAACTCATATCAAAAAGTTAAAGATTCTCTTTTCTCCCTACTTTTTACACATCTTTTTGTAAAAAGTTAAAAAATCATTCCAAATATAATAGTTTTTTTTTAAATCACATTTTAGCCAAAAAAAACTAAAAAATTACTAAAAAAACATGTTCCCAAACGAGGCTTTAAACGACAATGAAACAAGATTCTAGGGCATGCAATCCAGTTTGCAGCTCTGAACAACACCACTGACCAAAGAGTACTGAAACTGGAACAGCATGAAACAGTATTAGTTTCATTTTTATTTCTATTGAAGCAAAATTCATAACACAGATTCTAGGGCACGCTGACATTGTTAACTGAAACCCGCAATGCTAGTTAGTAATCTGCAACCTGCAAAACATGAAAACAAAAATAGCAATGTTGAACGTTATACGTATACCATCAAAATCTGTGTTGTGTTCTACTACAAATTTAGCCAACACAACACCTTATTAAATTTAAAACAACCAAACTTTTCCCATCTCAACCTTGAATCCAAGAAAATAGATCTTATTTGAGAAACACAAATTCTACATTGATTCAATGAATAGGTACACAGCCATTTTCGCTGTGAATGTAGCACTCTTTTGCAGTAAAAAAACAACAATTCTAGTAATGAAAGTCGCAAACAAATGAAGTATGGGATTTACCTTCTTCATAGCTCGTCTTTCTTCACTGGAGATGATTCTACTGGACTTGGTTGGGTACTTTTATCCCGATTATTTTGAATAAATTCAATAATATCCTCCTTTGTTCTGCCGCCATCATACTTCAATAAGTTACCGCTAGCAGATCTAAAGTATATAGTAGGGAAACCTTGAACATCAAAGGCTTCAGTTGGCAAATCATTTGCAGTTGCATCCTAGAAAATAATTGCAGTGAGATGCAATAAACTTAAAAATTAATAATTATAAATAAAAATATAACGGAACCAGCAGTGAAAGTAAAGATAACAGGCACGCGATTACATATGATCAACAAAATATGGTTATTGTGTTGCTAAAGATAAAAGTATCAAACTGAGAAATTATAAAATTATGGATGGACATATTTTGGGAGCCTCCTTAGAAAATCACAAAGAAAGAAAAGCCAATCATTGGTAATGAGGCTAAAAATGGAAAAAATTATGAGCTACAAGAATTTTCAGTAGGTCTGCCTTGAGATAGCATACAAGCACTGGGTTAACAGCAGTACTTAGGGAGGGCTGTGTTTGGATGATGGAATTGGGGAGGGATTTGTGAGGGAAAATAAAAGGGACAGAAAAAGTGGGGAAATATTTTTAAACTTCTATTTCATTTATTTTTCTCTTCTCTTTTCATTTCTTTCATTCCGCAAATCCCTTCTCAAATCCAAAATCAAAACACAGCCCAGAACAATATTGTGATGATGTGCCCTTTTACCATAACTTGGATCAAGTGACATTACACCTAACGAAGGATGCTCATAATTGTAAACACTTAAAAATGAAATCATGAGTTTAAGTCTCACTTGCAATTTGACAAAGGATGAGTGATGCATTGCTAAATTGGGAGGAAATGAATCTTACCAGCTTTGCTATGATGACATCTGGATCATTTTCAAATGACACAGCAACTTCATCCAATGTTGGGGCCAGTTTCTTGCAGTGTCCACACCATGGTGCATAGAACTCTAGCATAACTGTAAAAGAACAGAGATTATAAAAGGTCTTCTAAGAAAGAGCAACAGTAGGGAACCAAAAAAAAGTGGAAATCAGCTCAATTTGCTTCTGTGCTTGACTTAACTCCAATAGAAAGTCGAAAAGTGTGAATGTTACAGCCATGGAAGCTCATATAATTTACACAAGCAACTGAAAGAAATATCTTCTCCATAGCTGTGCGACACTTCTTAAAGAATGGTCAATTAGAAACTTGGCAACTCCAAATTTCTAGTTCACCTGAATTTTCAGTTCCGTTTAATCTATACATATAGGAATTATGGGATGAAGGAGTTGACAAGCACGCACCATTCTTTCCAGAGTTGAAGACCACGTCCTGGAGGCTGTCAGCAACGACCACCTTAACAGGTTCATTATTAACATCAGGAATTGGCTCTGATCTTACAAATGGCTTCAAGCTACCATCCTGCAACCTCATTGACAAAAGTTTCAAGTCATTTTAGGTAATCCAGGTTAGAAAATCCCTTGCAATGTAACCAAGAATTCAACATAGTTGTCATTATCATTATCATGAGCAATTATCAATGAGAAAAAGAAACAGAAGCATCACCATGTACTCCTTCAACCAAGTTGCAATATGACCGGGTTTCAAGTTTGTCTTAAGATATTTCTGGCCACTTTTCTTCTGTATAAAGATGAGAGGTGTCTGATCTTCTTTCAGTCCAAAATACTGTCTCCAGATAAAAATGACAGTTGAAAATGTGAGGAAAATAGGTTAAAATACCATAACAGCCAACAACAGAGAACTGGGAAAGAAATAACCTGAAATACATTTTGACTGGCCTCACTGTCACCCAATAGAAAGCTTATGCCCTTTCCTTTGTAGGCGGTGGCAACATCCTTGTATTTTGACTTGAAAGCATCAAGATGCTCTTCGCTGAAGTTGAGAAACAGCATTGCCTACCCATTTTGAATTATTTTCCGAATGATGATTCCACAGAAAAAATATAACATCGTCAGCACATTTGTTCAGAAAGTAGAAAAGAAGTAAGAAAAATGTGTTAGTCAAACAATAAAATTTTGTGACATCACCCCAAATACTAATCTAATCAGTAACAAACAACAGTGCCTCTCTCTCTCTTTTCCTCTTTATAATAAGTGCATATATACATACGTTGTGTCACTTGTTTAAGATTCAAGGTTTTCTTGTTGAATGTTTTTATTGTGCTAAGAAATGATGGAAGTGTCGAGATTATTATGTCTTTTTAAGGTTAGAATCATTTATAACTAGAATTAAAGCAAATGCAAAATAAGCTCAACTTCTTATAAGTTAGGGTTTTAAGTTCTTTTAAAAAAATAAAATTAAAATAAAAATTAAAAAAATCTCAAATCCAAAAAGTACCTTTTCTTTGTCAGTTTTTTTTTTTTTTTTTCCTTTTCTTCCTTCCCTGTTTCCAGAAATTCCATTCAAGAAATTTGTGGATTGAAATTACATATCTAAGATCTAGAAAAATGAATCTCTTGGGTTTAGAGTTTACACATCTTGATCAATATTATTAAACAATTATGAGAACAAATAAGAGCACCTTAGCATTTGGAGTGTTGAAGAATGTATTAACAAATGGATGGTTGCTTGGGTCTTTGTCGTAAACAGTCACAATAGGCACACTAGCTTCTACAATAAACTTCTCCAGAGCATCCACATCAAAATCCTGCAAGCACAACAGCTAACTGTGATTAGAGGAGTTGTCAAAATGGAAAATAAAGGGAAACGGAGAATGTTAAGACAAATAAATCAAGATACCTGGAAATCAATGAAGAGTTCATCAAAAGGCTTAAGTAACCTAATAGTCGGCCCATTAACTGATCCACCGTGTGGAAGGAGTTTGGCATTTGAAGTGTGACCAAAATCATAGTCAGAACGCAACTTCTCAGCTAGAACTTTGAACTTTTCAAACTCTTCTCCCGAAAATTTGGGAAACACTCCAACCTAAAAAATACATGTACACTTCAGTAGTACCTACAATTAATTGATACAAATAACTCCAAGAAAATCAAACCACCATGAAGTGCTTACCACAAAAATTCTTGTTTCATCAATAAGACTGCTAACATCTTCTGCAGATTTTATTTCAGCAGAAGCAGGACCAGCCTGTTTCTTCAAGTAAGCTACTATACCATCAGCTTCACGAGGGCCATTATATTCTTGAGCGCTCTTTCCTCCATTTCTTAAGATCTTAATAGTGGGGAAGCCCTGAATCTCAAATTTTTTGGCAAGTTCTCTGTTTGGTTCATCACTTGCATCAACTTTAGCCAGTATCACTGGAGGATCATGTCTACTCAAAACCAAAGCAGCCTTTTCATACTACATATAACAAAATACATTGCATGCGAAAAATACTATCAGTTAAACATGCTATATGCTGCATTTTGTAAACAGAAAATGAAACAGTTTTCTCTTTGGACATTTCAGAAGAAGTGATTACCTCAGGAGCAAGCTTCTTGCAGTGTCCACACCTGTCACATGGATAGGGAATGTGTATTAAATCAAAGAAATAGACCAAGACATTTATAATTAAACAAATAAGCTGAGGCAAATAAGTTTCTACAAGCATGCAGTTATGCACATAGATTTATACGTAAGTTCATTTAAATAAGATGCTGCAAGTATTGAGACAAATGTTTAAACATTCAGGGCTAAATGCATAAAACAAAAGGCACATGCTGATATAACCAGCGCTGAAAATTCAGATACTTGATGAAACCAAGTCGAAGTAATGGTTGTAGTTTTGTATCCAAAACCTGGGCTCTCTAACTGCTAATGCACTAAATCTAAGCCTAACAAGGGAAGTGTCTGTCGTGTTTAACTAAATAATCAAATTAGAGAAGTATAAAGAATTTTAAGTTTTCTTTTGAGCTGACACTTTTTTTTTTGTTATAGTTCAGGACTTTCAGTCAAAATATTAGTGATGTAGGTGTGCTAGATTTTACATTTATCCAATAATCACCTCAAAATTGGATAACAATGGATTTGAAACTTAAGTTGTTTCTTAGAGCCTTGCCCCAGTGACAAATTTTGAGATGTGATTCTCGCCATCTTGATAGCTTTTGATTGAGCATACTTTGCAGAAAATAAAATTTAATTATGTAATAAATTACAACCACAACAAAGTGTCAGGGGACATGTAGCAACTTCCATAAGTCCAAGGTGGGCAGCAAGAGAACATTTTAGAAAGATTATATATTATGCCACAATGAAGTAACAGTGCAAATTTCAAATAAACTGTCATTATATAAAATTCTCAAATTTACAATCAATTGCCCCATTCCTCAATACGCACAATCATTAATGCTTTTTAAAACACAATTAAACCACTTCCACATAATGTGCACACAATCTGAAGGGGTAAACATGCATTGCATGCCTATATCTGTCTTGGAGTGACTGAAATGGAATGATTTACTTGTCAATCACAACACAATCAAGCACGAACACGTTGTATTGGAGTAAGGACTTTATAAAAGATCAAACAGGTAAGGGCTTCTCACAGGAGTTTATTCCGGGGAAGCTCTTACCTATTACAAGAAAGATCTGTTCAAGGGGGAGTCCTCTCTTATCTATCAAAAGAAAGACGCCACGTATGATGTGACAAGGAAGAAAAGATCAATTGAGATTCCCTCTAGAATCCCACAAAGATCTCTATACAAAAACCAAACAATTCAGTTGCATCACTCTTGGGTGATCCCTTCCAGTTCTCACTTCTCTCACATAAAGGGACCAAAACATTAAAAAAAAATATAAAAACAAATTACAAAACAAATCATTTAAATATTAATAAGCATACTTTTGACCCATCAAATGCCAATTCATCCTAGTTTCTTATCTGACTTGTTAGGTTTTATTCTTGGCAATCCCGTTTGACAAAACTCGGAGTCCTCTCTTATCTATCAAAAGAAAGACGCCACGTATGATGTGACAAGGAAGAAAAGATCAATTGAGATTCCCTCTAGAATCCCACAAAGATCTCTATACAAAAACCAAACAATTCAGTTGCATCACTCTTGGGTGATCCCTTCCAGTTCTCACTTCTCTCACATAAAGGGACCAAAACATTAAAAAAAAATATAAAAAAAAATTACAAAACAAATCATTTAAATATTAATAAGCATACTTTAGACCCATCAAATGCCAATTCATCCTAGTTTCTTATCTGACTAAAAACACAGGCATTCACTATATTTATAAAATCATATTTGAACTCAGAAAAAAAGAAAAAAAAAAAAAGAAGGACTATTCTTTAAAACTCAGCAACAATTCAGGACATGCATATAATAACATACACGTCTAGAAATTAAATTTGATTTGGAGCATATCTGAAATGTGAAGAAGAAAAAAATGTCCCTTCCGATTCTCACACAGATGGACCAACAACTTCACAAATGATTACCCAACCAAACCCCAGAGCTCGTGTCTAATCAAGTGGATTGGCTAAATGAATTCATTTCCAACAGCTATAGTTCGAAACATTCATATATTCGAAACGTAAATAATAATAAAAAATAAAAAACTTAATAATTTAGTAACAGAACAGTACATATAAATACGTGACATACACACACATAGGAGTAGGTAAATTGAAGATCTGATTCATAACACAATTTTTCCAATTCTACCTGTATTAAAAAAATTCAAAGCCTACATAATACTCCAAAAATGCAAATCTCTTTAAAGTGGACCGCACTCATTTGGTGGGACTCATTTATACGAGAGAGTTGTGTTCACATGATATGGACGAGACCCATGCAAATTATCTTCATTTATGTAATCATTTTATGCATATAAAAATAGAATAATGTTAGATATCTTAAAAAATTTACCACCTACACCATGAGAGATATTGAGTAAAAATTTTACTAATTTTTTTGAGATTTCTAGCATTTTTATAGAGACGAATATTTTAACTTTGAAAAAAAACCTGAAATTCTCATAATTCAGCAACCGAAGCTACAGTAAAGGATTATTTGGCATATATTAAAAAAGTGTGTTTTTTTATTTTTTTTTATTATATCATCTAAAAAATTAAAAAGTATATTTAGCACTTTCTAAATAACCTCTAAATATATATACACACATATGTATAGCATTTTAAAAGGAAGATCTGCAAAATGCACATAACGGAGATTGAGGATTGTAAATTATAGAATAAAGCAAAAAGAAATGGTTATACATCTATATATACCAAGGAGCGTAGAATTCGACGACGATGAAGTCGTGCTTGGTCACAGTATCAGAAAAGTTGGAGTGATCCAGCGTCAACACATGCTCATGCTCTCCTTCGTCTGCATAGACCGATACACTCAACAACAACAACAACAACAAAATCGATGAAACCAACACCAAAAAACCAACACAAACCCTAGATGCCATGGCAGCGCTCTCTCTCTCTCTCTCTCTATCTCTCTCTGTATTTATGTGTGTGTGTATATATAGAGAGAGATGGCGAGAGCGCAGTTTGTTACAGAGCGAAAGAAGAATGAGACAAGCATGCGAAGTTCGTGCTTTCTGTGTGAATAAATAAGGCGGGCTGAGCCTCACGTGACCGCTGTTTTAAGAAAAGTGGGCCTGCTCACGTGGTCAAGAAGTAATTGGATAGAATAATATGATGTGTTGTGTTGTAACGAGAGAGCGAGATTTAGTTAATCCACTCAGATTTACTTCTTTAAAAGGGCCAATTAAGACATAGGTGAATTAAATATACAAATTTGGCTATTTTAATTGATTTTTTTTTATGACTATTTTATGAGATGAAATAAAATTTTATTTGAGATGATTTATGGATATTTTTATAATTAAATAGATGGTTATGTAGAAATAACATTTTATCTTATTAATTATTTTAATTTTTTTTTATCTTTATTAATTATTTTAACCAACAATTAAGTTGTAATACACCATTACAATAAGCTAAACACAAAGTGGGATAGTATGAAATATTTGTGTTTTATTCTATATTTAGTTTGCATTTCAGTATTGCTATTAAATATAAGTCTCACTAATGACAGCCCGCCAATTAGGGATGGTAATAGATCGGATTTTTAGAATTTAGTAAGAAAATTCTTACTTTCAAACTCAATTATTTTAATAATATGATTTCATACTTGAGTATGAACTTGACAATTTTAACTTACTTACCACTATATTTCATCCTACTCAATCAATGTTCTCTCAAAATGGGATGGGAACTAATACAATTAGGTGAGGAAATTTTGCCATCATTACTGCCAATAGCTGACTTGCACATTATAAAATATTATAGATTTTAAATTTTAAAATCTCGCATAGGTATTTTTGAATTTGAAATAAATATATATTGGTGTGACTCTTTTATAGTCTTTGATGATATACTGAAAATTTTCCCATGTAATGGAAGGATTTAAATCCCCATTTTTATTGCCAAAACAAAAACAAAAAGGGATAATGTTATTTTAACTCAAAAATTAGATATACATTTCAAATTCAATGATGCGGTAAATTATTAAAATATATAAGGTAATTTTTTTTTTCATATATTCTTTAATTATCAACTAATCATCTCTTTAATGCATCACTACATCTACTAAATGAATTTATAAAATAAACTTATATATTATTTTTTTTTAAATATATATATATATATATCAAAAATCAATGAGTTACGCTAGAGACTCTAAAAATTTTACTAAAATTTCTACCGAATGCCTCGCCTAGATATGGGACCCACACAATGTACGTATCATGTGAGTTCCACACTATGTGAGACATTTTGTAAAATTTTTGATAAAATTTTTAAGATCTAGCATTTTTGAAAATCAATTAGCTTGCTTGTTTTCATTTTTCAGAAAACACTTTTCAAAAAATTCTACTTTCTTATTTTTCGTATTTTTTTGTTTTTACTGAATTTTTTAAATATTTTAAGCATTTTTTTACTTTTTAGACACACCTAACATAAATACACCTAAAAAGTAAAAAAAATGTAAAAAAAATCTTTTAAAAATTTACTAAATATCAAAAATACAAAAAAAATACAAGAATTCAGTACATTTTTTGTATTTTTATGTATTTATTAATTTTTTTACAAATTTTTTATTTTTTAGATACATCTAACTAAGGCGCATCTAAAAAAGTTTAAAAAATGTTTAAAATTTAAAAAATATTCACTAAAAATAAAAGAATTCGAAAATCCAAAAACTCAATTTTTAAAAAATTTAATTTAAAAAACTCAAACCAAACACATTAAATAGTGCTCTTGTGGACTCAAGTTTTCTATCGCAGTTACTACCGAACCTCACAATAGGGTGATCGTGTGAGCCCATCCTATGTGATGAATGATAAATGTAATGCAAATGGTAAGAAATTCAAAATTAATGAAAAATATCTTTTATTTTTATTTTTTTAAAAACATAGAGACATTTATTACTCCCTCCGTCCCAAAATAATGGTCCCTTTTGGGGAATCTAACTTTTTTTGGTAGTATAATTATTGTACTTTTAAAAAGGTAGTTTTCCAAAATTACCCTTTGATAGTACACTTTTTTGAGAATATCAATGTCATAATTGTACTTTTTATATTATTTATGAATTTAAAAGAAGGGCAAAATGGGAAATTTATATTATTTTTGTACTTGATTTTTGAAGAGGGACTAATAGTTTGGGACAATGAAAAATGAAATAAGGGACTAATATTATGGGACGGAGGGAGTAGCAAAATTCAAATTTATTGAAAGTATAGTCTAATGACTTATTTGTACGAAGGCTCTCTAAATTATTAAAAAATATCACTTAAACTCCTTAAATTATTGAAAAATATCACTCTTAGTCACTTCGCTCGAAGAGCCTTGCTAGAAGATATCAAATTTCATAGGATTCATTTGGGATGTGGGTTGATTTTTTAAATTTTTGACTATTTTAGTTTGGGGCTAAAAAATCTCGTTTGAGATAGATTTTTTGACTTTTTTGACTTTTGTGAAAAAAAATAAAATAATTATGAGCTAAATGTAATGTTTTGTCTTATTGAACTAAAAAATCTATTTTTTCTTTTATAACTATTTTACCCAAAAAAAAACCTTTTAACTTTGTTATGCCAAACGAGCTCTTACTCAAATATGTAACCCCTCTGTTAAGCATATTCTCAGAGAGGGCAATATGGATGCTGCTGGTCTTGCAAATATGGGCGTAAATCATACTAAAAATCTGGTAGTTCTAGAAGATCTCCCAAATGAGATTGCAAGTTTGCTGGTTGCAGACATAGGCCTCGTTTGACAAGTTAACATTTTAACAAAAAAATTAAAAAGTTACTAAGAAAGTCAAAAAACTTATAACTTATCAAAAAGTCAAAAATTTTCTTTTCTCTCTACTTTTTGTACATCTTTTTGTAAAAAGTCAAAAAATATATCAAACATACTAATTTTTTTTACCTCATATTTTAACAAAAAAATTAAAAAATTACTAAAATAGTATGTTCTCAGATGAGGCCTATAGTTGGAGCTTGGCCCTCTTTTGTTTTGTGTTGTTTTAATTCCTTTATGTCGTATACTCTTTTGGTTTAAATCAAAACTAAAATAAAATAAAAATATATAAATGAATTTTCAAAATTATATAAGTGTACAAATTAGACTCTTAAAAAAAACACGCCAATAATTTAAAATGTTCATTTCTATGCTTTTATAATTTAGAAGATAAAGTTATATTTTTAATAATATAAAAAATTCATTCATATATTTTTATAATTTAACAAATCAAAATAATACTTTTTTAAAATTAAAGAATTTTTTTGTAAATAATGTAGTCCAATCCCCACACCGCATTTATGATCGTCCTCATTATGGGGGTGATAGGGTGAGCCCACCCCTTGTGTGAAATTATAAATGCAGTGCAAGACAATAAGAAATAATCACTGGTCAATTGTTTGATTTAAATTTTAGTAACAAATTTATTATTATAAGAATATGTTTAAAAAATAAAATTTAATTATTTATTCTTTTTATATTATATTTTAATATAAATAAATTAAAACTCACAAACAAAGTTTAAGATGTCTCAATCATTTATCATTTTAACAAAATTTTCAATCATTATCAATACTAAATGATCACTCTATAAATACAAAACATACATTTAAAAGAGTCTCAAAATTTTCTCCAAATTAGAAACAAATAGATAAAATGTTTATTGCAATCCCTAACAATAATATAAGAAAAATGCTTGGGAGCACTAATTAGTGCTCCCACTAATTAGGTGGCAGTCCAATTTTCCCTAAAAAAAATACGCCAATAATTTAAAATGTTCATTTCTATGCTTTTATAATTTAGAATTTTTTTTTATATGTTTAATAATAAAAAAAAGTCATTCATATATTTTTATAATTTAACAAATCAAAATAATACTTTTTTAAAATTAAAGAATTTTTGTGTAAATAACGTAGTCCAATCCCCACACCGCATTTATGATCGTCCTCATTATGGGGGTGATAGGGTGAGCCCACCCCTTGTGTGAAATTATAAATGCAGTGCAAGACAATAAGAAATAATCACTGGTCAATTGTTTGATTTAAATTTTAGTAACAAATTTATTATTATAAGAATATGTTTAAAAAATAAAATTTAATTATTTATTCTTTTTATATTATATTTTAATATAAATAAATTAAAACTCACAAACAAAGTTTAAGATGTCTCAATCATTTATCATTTTAACAAAATTTTCAATCATTATCAATACTAAATGATCATCCTATAAATACAAAACATACATTTAAAAGAGTCTCAAAATTTTCTCCAAATTAGAAACAAATAGATAAAATGTTTATTGCAATCCCTAACAATAATAGAATGATAATGTGGTCCCCACCCTTGTAAAGTAATGATAAATGCACAAGATTGGTGTGTGAACAAGAAATGTCAATTAACAGTTTTTAACAAAACAATGGCACTATAAATTCAGATTTTTTATTAAAAATTTTATTTTAAAAAAATTACTTTTAGATCAAATTTATTCTATATGTGGAGTCATACTAATTTAATTTCTACCATATAATCTAATTCTTGGTAAATTTGGACGAGTTATACCTAGGTTAGTAAAATTACTATTTACAAATGGACCAATTTGTGATACATCTAAAATTTAAAGAATTAATGTAATTATATCATAATTATGAAAATAATTATAAGTTCCCAAACTTCAAAAGTCGTGTAATTCATCCCATATACAAATATCCACCCACCTAAAAATTAAAGACAAAGACTAAAGTTGGGACAAAGACTAAAGTTGGGGAGTTTTTAAATACACTTGAATTTCAATTTACACCCACATGTGTACTAATACAATAGTTATAATTAATATGGTGAGTGTAAATAGAAATTGAAAATGTGAATTAAGATAGCATTTTTAACTTGATTTTGTTTATTATGTAATGGGTGATCATATCACCAATACTGTAGTGATACTCGATAAGATAACTTTTTTGGGTTATTTTATATCAGTGATGTTAGAAGAAAAAA